TTGGAAAGCCTACTCTGCAAAATATCTCTATGGGGGCTTCTGCTTCTCTCTCTGTCTCTATTTTCACCAGTGCTATTGCTTCCAGATAACATGTCACATAGTCGACTACTGTCAGAACATACCAGTTGCCTTTGTCAGACACAGGCACTAGTGGCCCGATCAAGTCCACAGCTACTCTGCAGAATGGTTCTTCTATGAGAGGCATCTCTCCCAATGGCACTTTGGCTACCTTCCCTCTAGGTATTGTCGTTAGGCAGATGTCATATGACCTGCAGAATCTACCCACATCTCCAATTACTCCCGGCCAATGGAAATTACTGGTGATTCTCTCTGCCATTTTCTTTGTTCTTAGGTGTCCTTCCACAATTGATTCATGAGCCAACTTCATCACTTACGTCTGGTATTCTGTTGGTACTATGATCTTTTTAGCTTCCCCAGTATAACTGACTCAATACATTCAGTATAGAACTTCCTTCCAGTCCTCTATTCTGTAAGTATTTTTCCCCTTTGTTTTGTGCTCGACTTGTTTCCGGGCTTTGTCCCAAAGTTTCTGCAGTTTCTTCTATGCTTCCTTCAGTTCCTGCAAACCTAAATTCGGGATATCGCGTTTTGACACTTGCAGGGGCTTAATGTATTGTTTGCTCTTCTTTTCTTGAGCTCTAGTAGTGACTGCAGATGCTTCATCAATGTTCTTTCTATCTAGTTCCTCAAATTTTTTACTATCTGGTATGTTTCCTATCACTAAGTCATGTATTGGTTCCTTGATACACATGGCCTCAAGGTCTCCTATATAATATGGAGTATCCACTTTTTTTTGCTGTGGGGAAGTTTCTTACTGTCTCATCAATTAGCACACACAAGCATACCTTGCCTGTTGTCTGATCATCGGATACTATACTGGTTCTCACTGCTGCACTACTGCACCTAATGTCTCGTAAATTGTTTGTTTGTTTGTAATTAAGCACAAAGCTACATAATGGGCTATCTGTGCTCTGCCCACCACGGGTATTGAAACCAGGATTCTAGCATTTTAAGTCCACAGACATACTGCTGAGCCACTGTGGGCATCTCATAGATCCTTCACTTTCTTATACCCAACACAGACTTTATATACTGGCATATTATAATTTGTTGGCACCTCTTGATATTTGTCACTTGCTCCCATCACTATTGGCACTCTTGATCCGTTTGTTAATTTGAGCCAATCATTGGTCGGGCACACATCAATCATGCTTTCTTGTATTAAATTTGACAAGTATTCTTGATTCTCTTTCTTCTGGCAGCAGCATCCATAGTGCCAGTCACTCTTTATTCTTGTTTCTTACCAGCACTGTCTTTGTTAATGCTGCTTTATGTTGAGGTTTCTGCTGTTGTTTGCTGGTACTGTACTTGCACTCTTTTGCAATGTGCCCCATTTTATAACAAACATAACAAATCTTCTCCCTTCTGTCTATTAACCTCCAGTCACGTTTGATAAACTCCTGCTTCTGGTCAACCATTACTGGTTTCAAATTTAACTGCAAATTATTGGACTTGTCAGTCATACTAACTCCATGGGCTTCCATATACTGTTCTGCCAACTTGATCATCTTGTCTACATCTTTTGGTGCTCTCTCCTTTCGGAACATTGACATGTCAGTTGGACATGGTCATGAACTGTCCATGTAATAATAGGTCTGCCAGTCCCTCAAAACTATTTTCACACATGGCCAGGTCAGTCCATCTGGTGAAATATCACTGACGACATACTACAACTGAAATACGGTTTATCCAGTGTCTGGTTCAACTCCTCTGAATTTCTGACTAAAACCTTCTTCAGTAAGTTCATATCGTTTCAGTAACGCTACCTTTAATTTGTTCTAATCCATGGCATCTTCTGACATATTGCCTGCATATACTTGTAGGCCTTTTCCTGTGAGAAGTGGGCTGAGACAGACTGCCCAGTCGCCTTTGTCCCAGTTCTGACTTTGGGTGAATCTTTCATATTGTTACGACAGTGGAAGTCACGTGACGTTGGTAACACGTAATGATTATCTGGAAGATTCGCGAAAAACGCTAGTGCGTGCTATGCACGCGTTTGTGTTATTACAGCAGAGTCAAGTGACTCTGGTAGCACGTGATGAGTGTCTAAAATATTCTCGAAGAGGCTACGCAAGCGGTATTATCGTATATAAGTGCGCTAGACAAGAGAGAGAGAGAGGGGGTGGGGAACCAAGGACAGCAGTTACGAGGATAACAGATACAGAGATCGGAACTATAGTTGCTGACAGGCGGAGATAGAGACGGACAATTGAGTCAAGCGCGGTAGCAAAGTGAGTGAATTGTTGTGAATTATAGCGTGTGTTAAGTTAAAGTAACTGTGGAAATTAAGTGTATTGCAAAGTTGTACTGAGGAAGAATAAACTAGTTTTATTTAAGAAAGGACTTGTATCGCAGAAAAATTAACAAACGAAAATACAGAGACGTAACAATATCTCTCCAGGATAGCATTCATGTCATCTTTAAGTTCATCAAATTTGGGCAGTTTGGGTCGGCGAGCCCTGACTCTATTGTCATTCTTGAGCCCTTCTTTTTTTGGTTTGGTGAGTTTTGCTATCTCAAATTGTGCTCATATTCTTTCTATTTCTAGTCTCTCCTCTCTCTCTTTTTCTTCTTTCTCAATTTGTATTCTCATTCTCTCTATTTCTAGTTTCTGCTCTCTCAATGTGTCTCTTCTGTTGCGGTTCTTCTCTTTTCAGGTTTTGTTGTTGTTTTACAAACTCTCGTAGTTCACTGTATTTTAACTCAAGTTGAGATCCTCTTTTTTACCCATTTATCAAAATCTGTTGACATGGTTATATAGCGTAATTTAAATCTCTACACTATTTTTGTTACTACTACAGTTGTGCGTATATAGATAGGCCTACTTATTTCCGCTGTTGTTCGCGTTTTCTTCTATCGCCATTTACCACTGTATAGTCCTGGCTGTAGCTCGCCAACTTCAGAATTTTAAAATATTGTTACGTCTCCGTTTGTTAATTGATTTTTCCGTAACTTCGTTCGGACGAAACTTTAA